CTTTTTTTTTTTTTTAAGTCTCTCCGTGTATAGTCCTGAATAACCGGAGCTCTGAATGCTTTTAGGAGGAAGCTACAAAGTGGGAAAGCATTGGAAAAGTATTCTTTTTATCTTCTACCAGATCTCTACCTCTCTTGTTGACTGAATATTGTCTGTCAGTTAGCTGTCTTTTAAAGACCAGTGCACTGATACTTACTTTGCTCCAAACTGGTTTTTTTTGTTTGTTTGTTTTGTTCTTATTTTTAAGTACAGGCAAGTTTTCCCTTTCTTGCTGTACATACTACTGTCCTTGGTAGAAGCATGTGCGTGCCTCCGCAAAGGATGGAGTAGGGGACAGTGGTCTTTAGAAGTTTTTAAGTGATCTAGTGCATAATAATATCCAACTCTTCCTCCTTTAACACGCCTTTCAGAGACTGTACTACAACCTAGAAACTGAGTTCTGTGGGTCTGGTGCTGCACTTAGCACCATCAGGGACCAATCCTGCTTACAGATGCTACTGCATCATTAACAAAATACAGTTTGTTATTTCAAACCTTCATTCCCTTTGCTTTTTGAGAAGGGTGGTGACTGGACTGAAATGGATTTTTGTTTTTTCTGCCTTCTTCCAGGAGCCTAATTTAGCTTTTTCCAGCAATCTTTCCTCTTTATCCTGAAATCATAACTACAAAACAGTTGACAGTGTTTGATCACACTATAATAACAATAAACAGAGATGGGAGTTAATTGCATCAAACTTACTTGGGGAGAGCAAGGAAAATCCAAAAACGTGCAAATCGGGTTATTAAGTTCCTCCTTCAAAAATCCTAAAAGGGGTGGATGGTGATGAAGAAGTCTTACTCCTGACACAGCTCTGCAGTTCCTGTGCAGTATCTTGGGGACTGGGAGTGGAGGGAGGGATAGAGGAAGCCCTTGAAAGCATATTGGGGTGAAATAAAAAGGGTTTGTTTGACAGAGACAGACTAGGTGCTGAAATTTCTCAGTTCTGAGAACACATCTGCTCTGTGATGCAGAGCATGGGTAGGACTCTGCAGAACTGAAGGGGGGACTGGTTGATTGGTTTGTTTGGTTGATTTTTTTTACATCCTGGGTGTAGCATTTATGGAATTGTATGTTTTTTTTGGAAGTGCTACATAAGCTCTGCTTTCCTTGGGGAGGAGGGCAGTCAGGCAGCAGTGCTGTGTGCCACTGCCTGATATTTCAGCAGCGAGCAATTTGGATGGTTTTGTGGGTGCTGTCAACCTCCGAAAGGATCCTTCCTGTGTCCTAAGAAATAAACAGGTACTTAAACTGCAGCCTGTGAAAAGCCGTCTGACACTAAACTGCAGGTATTCTTATTGCCAAATTAAGAGGGAGCTAAAAATACACACGCGGGTATCTGAAAAGTGTAACTGCACTGGGGATCTTATGGGAACGTTAAAGGGAAGAGAGATGGTCTGTGAGATGATCTACGTTAAGGTGGTTCATATGATACAGAAAAAAGGTGATAAAATGTTCTGTTTTCAAAATTAAGTTATTTAATCCAGGGCATGTGAAGAAAAAGGCATGTGCAAGGAATTTGGAGATATGTAAAACACTTCTTGGAGTTCTGTTTTGTGTTTTGTTTTGTTTGGAGCTTTTCTACGCTTCAGAAAAGAGAGTAACTTTTTTATAACGAAGCAGTAGTTTGAGAATTTAAAAAAAAAAAAAAAACAACTTTTCTTAAAATAGAAGCAGCTTCATTGCAAGTAAAGTGCAAAAAGATCAGATCTATCAGAAGAGAAAAGCATTCCTTCCCCCCGAAAGCTGCAGATTGAATCCCTAATCTGAAGATGCTGCCAGTGGGATGTCAGCACCAGCCTCAGGAAAACAGACGTACAGGGTGGCTAACATTACTTCTCTGGGGTGTCTGCCCCTTTTTACTCATCTCTAGAAGGAGGGTTTGGGCTAACCAGTGTGAATGACAGTGCTCTGTCTACTTGCCTTATGTAGCAAACATCTCAAAAACTGTGCAGGGCTGTGTGAAAGATTGTGCGAGCTGTGGTTTTATTTGTAATACAGTAACCTCGTGTTTGCAGCATAAACCTCAGGAATTATCAGGCTTGATTATTGCAATTTGCTCAGGTATCCACTTGTTTAGCCTTGTTTCTGTGGCACCTTGTTCCCTTCAGACAGTGCAGGACAGTAGATCAGCCTGGATTAGAGACTGTCAGCTTCTGCTCTCTAACCCGCTTCCTTATCAGCCCACAAAATTTTTACATTAAGATTTTTTTTTTCTTTAAAGCCTTTAGCTGTGTTAGCTCCTAGTTTATCCTGGTTTCCCTCAAGCTAAAGATTAAAGTCCTAGAACAACCCTTCATGCTTCCAAACTTTTTTACTGAATTCCAAGAAGTTGATATAAATTGTGGTTGATTTTATGTATTTGTTTTCTACATGGCCAAAAAGAGGGGCTGGGGATAAGCCTGTTGGCGCTTGGCAGATATTTATACTCTACTGTGATATGCAATTTTACAAATTAAGGCTTTTTGACCAAGTGAAGGTATCAGAGTTCCAGCAGGACTTCCCTGGTATAGGTTCTTTCCCAAAAGTCTCCGATCTTTTCACTGCTTTTAGTAATTTATTTGTAGCCAGGTTATTTTGCTGCTTCATGTATGTACCCTGGATTCAGAGGAGTCAGTTGGCAACTGAAAATGTTGTAAAAGCTCAGCCTCAAGGTGCTTGCTTGGGATGAGATGTGTGTGTTCATTCCCAGATCTGTCACAGATTTGCTGTGCAGGTCGCTGGATCCCATCTTTCCCTCCTGTGAAGGAGAAACAGATCTTACGAGTCTGGGAGTGGTGTAGGATCTATGAGAGTAGCATTGACTGGGGAGTCATGAGAAGGCAGAAATGCCATTTTTTATACTTACTAATAGAAAAATAGAAGCCTTTTACATTTGTTGTGCACTTTAGATGTTGTTACACAGCAGTACCGCTGTGGTACTTTGGGGTGCTCACTAGAAGAACTATCTGCATATCACTGAACAGCTAATTTAATACATAAATATATTCACTGTGAAATGCGTAACAGGGCATATTGCAAAGAGGGGAGCAAAGCTGTTGTGCTCGGATGTCACAATATGAATTACTATTTCTAATTCGGTGATCAGCTTCACAGGTGAAACTTGGGAGTTCAACTTGGTAACCCTGGAAAGTCACTTAACTGTCTCTCCAGTCACTGCAACCCACATAAATTCAGTGTGTTCCGTGTATGCATAGAGATCCCCGGGTGTAGCATTTACCTTTTTGTTTTTGTAACGCTAATAACCATAAACTTACACTGTACCATTGCTTCAAAGATTACGCTCATTTTTGTGTTTTCCTTATGAGAGCTTTTTTTTTTAAAAAAAAACCTAACAAACAAAACAAAAACCCAAACCCCACTCATTCATATTCTACCTCCCTGAGCCTGCCTGTCTGTAGTAGTGTGTTCCAGCACCAACCGAGATCTGCTGTCAGAAGCTGGGACTGTAAAACTTTCTTAACAGTAGGTAGTAGAGCATTCTTGATGAGGAGCTCTTGAATTTGCTTTTCTTTGTTAAAAGGCTCTATTTGAATTTTCCCAGTCTCTGCATAATAACAGGGTGCCATACCCTGAATTTGGGGGTAGGATTTGCTTGTTGGCAACAGCATTTGCTTCCCAGTCTTGACAAATTCTCATTGTAATATTCAGATGCACTCTAACTAGGAGCATTTTTTATTTTTTTTTTTTAAGTTATGTTTCTGGTTGGCTTCAAAACAGTGAGATAATCTAATAATCAAACTGTGTGTCAGTTCTCTCTTTCTCTCCGGTGCCTCTTTGATGTCCAACAAAGTTATCCGCAGGGCTATGATTTTGCTTATTCTAAGAAATGACTTTCAGAGAATTGGTCTGACTGGAATGGGATGGCAGTTTGTGCGATTAACCAAGAGAGACCAGCCTGTAAGCACTTTGGGGCACTGACCTTCTCTTCCAATTTACCGTAAAACTGAGGGCAATCGATTTCTGTATGGATCTCTGGAAGCTGGCTGCAGTGCTCTGTGTACCATCGCTCAACTCTGTTCCACTTCTACCAGTTCCTTCCCTTTGTTTAAGGGTTGTGGTTCAGGTGCTTGAATTGTTATCTAAATGCTTTCTGCTATTACACCACAAGGTAGATATACTTAATGGTCACTACTGTACTTGTCCTGAACTAGCTGCTGGCTAAAATTGGGATTGGAAAGTGGGGCAGAGATTTTTATACTTGTTTTTTGCTGGGTTTGGTTTTGGTTTTGTTTTGGTGGGGTTTTTTTCACTGACAAACTAGCAACTCTCTGACTTTGTGCAGATTATTTAAAATCAGATTTTTCAGAAAGTCCTTACACTGCAGGTTGTACCTAGAGATGCTGGTACTGAAGTCTATGGAAATCTAATTGCTTCATTCATGTGTCTAACAAGAACTGAAATCTTAAAAAAGAAAATATTCCCCCCCCCAGCACCAGAATGTCTATGTCAAACCTCCCTGAAACTCTGGCCCTGTGCCTGTAACAGCTTCAGACTTTTATTCTGTAGAATCTGGAGTGCTTTTATATTTTATAACGATAGTGCAAATAGATCCAAATAGGTAGATTTAGCTATGTTTGCCATCACAGATATGCTGTTTATTTAAATTTTTGGTCACTAAATATTGGATATTTTAGGTAGAAGTGGATAACTTTTCAACTGAATTGTTCTAATTTTTCATTTTCATTTTTTAATCCTGTTTCTTTTCAGCAAAGAGACCAGGTAAATGAGGTGTTAAAGAGAAGCTGTGGAACTTAGAGCAGTGGAAGTTTCTGTTCTCAAATTGATCTTAACATTGTATTCAGCTCACTGTGGACTATCTACGTTATTCCATCCTATCTACATGATTGCCTTCTTAATGAAAGGGATGTGAGGGGAGCGGCGAGGTGGAGGGAGAAAAGGGTGAGACTTGTACTTGAGAGAATATCTATTTCACTCTTCTCTTGTCTTGTGTTTCAGGTATACAAATGCTCTCAGTCCAGCCAGACACCAAGCCGAAAGGTTGTGCTGGCTGCAACCGTAAGATTAAAGACCGGTATCTTCTAAAAGCCCTGGACAAATATTGGCATGAAGACTGCCTGAAATGTGCCTGCTGTGACTGTCGCCTGGGGGAGGTGGGCTCTACCTTGTACACCAAAGCCAACCTTATCCTTTGTCGCAGAGACTATCTGAGGTAGGCCATGTCCTTTTTACGTTCACAGACAAACTTGTTAAATCTGTTCAGCCCTTCCTATCTACCCACTGTTGCCTAAGCGGTACTTGAGGGTTGCAAGGTTGAGTACGTGTGGAGGATGAGAAAAAAAATACCACAGTATGGAGATAAAACTAAAATATGAATCAAAAAGCACATGTAATCAGGTTTTGTGGGTGGTTGCCAATTTTCTGATGTTGATACTAGGGTCCTGTGCTCAGAGGAGAAAGACAATATGGCAAATTCCCTGCGTTTCCCACAGCACCGCTCTCCTGGGGTGCTGGTGGTCTCTTCCTCCTCCTCCTCACAGTACGATGGTGACCAGGTATAGTGGCCTGAAACTGCGTGTGTGGTTTTCATCAGCTCCAGCACAGGGTTTGAACTCTCAATGAGGATTGCTTCACTTGGCTTTGCTTTCCCACTTTCATCCTCTTTATTTGCCAGAGGGATTTAATTTGTGGTACTGGAAGCTTTTACGAATGTTGGCAATTAGCTGTTAGAAGCTGGACCAAGATGATCAACTGCCTTCTCCATGCTAAATAACCATGTAGCTAGTAGGCTTAAATCCATGCTGGTCCTGATTTAGCTTGGTGACTTGGGTGAGATGCAGGGTAACCTGTTGCCACTTAGGATCCTAGAATGTTGTGAGTTGGAAGGGACCCACAAGGATCATCAAGTCCAACTCTTGCATAGATAATCTTCTCAGATAGCAAATTGTCGCTTGATTTTCTGTCTTCTCATTTACTTGTAAATCTGTGTTCACAAAAGTATATGAGGTATAACTTGTAGCAAAGTACTGATGAGCAGCACCAGGCTAGTTTATCTGCAGACTATGTGTGAATAAATAGGGCTACTTTGCAGGAGCGAAGCTTAATCAGGAAGCTTAGTCTCCCTAGGCTCTCAATAGTAAATAGAGAGAAAAGGCTCCTCTGGGGTGATTCAGAGCACCTATTTCCTATAGGAGCACCTTTCCTCCATTCCCTGTAGAGGGGTTCTAATGAGACTAGCTGCTCCAGGCTAATATGAACTTCTGGGAATATTTCCCCTGCCCCTGTAGTGAAGCCTTTTCCTTTTAAAGGGACACTCAAGTCAGTAATACATTGGGGAAAAATTAAAATTATCTTTGAATGTGTTAACTTACAAGTTCAGTTTAAGCACAGATGCCAAACAGGAGGTTCCCATGCCCTGAGCAGTTCCCAAGTTGTACAGCATGGGTAGGTTGGAACAGCGATCAAGACTAAAGAGTTATTAATAACCATTGGTACTCTGGCTCTCCACATTACAATCTGTTTTTTTCTAAAGCACAACACGTTGCCTAAAGAAGCTGTGGCTGCTCTTCCCTGGAAGTGTTGAAGGCCAGGTTGGATGAGGCTTTGAGCAACCTGGTCTAGTGGAAGGTGTCCCTGCTGATGGTAGTTGGGGTTGGAACTGGATGATCTTTAAGGTCCCTTCCAACCCAAACCAATCTATGATTCTATGAAAAACCTTTGCAAAAGTATTGTGCATTTGTTGAACTGGGTCTGCAAGGCAGAGCAGGGTTCTTCAGGTGTGGGCTTGGACTGCTTAGTGGCAAAAGTGCCATTAAAACTCTGAACTGAACACAAGATAAAGTGTTGGGAATTTAGCATAGAGTCTGCATCTGAAAGCCGTTGCATTAAAACTGACAAAGAAGTAGTTAACAAGACCTTATTTTTAAAAACTGGCAGGAAAACTCTTTGAAAAGAAGGGAATTGTCGTACATGAACACAGGTCACTTGTGATCTTAGAGAGTGTGTCTATCGAGGGGGGTCAGAACAGCTTCTGGGGGAAAGGTAACACTTAACCTACTTTTTAAAACTAATTTTAAGAATCTTTCTACAACAAGCGCCTGCAGGAGTGAGAAAACTCTGTTATGGCTTTTTGATCTGAGTTCCAAATTTACTGGAGACTTTGAACTTACCCAATCTCCCATTGCTAGTGCGATGTTTTAAAAATCGAATGTTTAAAATCAAAACCAAAAGCGATCTAGCAGTAGATATACGAGCAAAGCATTTCCCCTGTACAGGTGCACACGCACACACGCTCTGTTACTCTCTGATCTTTGAAGGTCTAACAGGAGTAAATATTTTGCTAATAGATTGTTAAAAATCATACTAAGTGATTCAGAGAAAGGAGACTGTATTTCTTATCTGCCACAACCACATTCAGAACTAGTGCTTCAGTTATTTGTTCTCAAACAATATTTTGTACCAGTGAAGCCAGCATACATGAGAAATCCTATAATGAGTTTTAAGATGTTTCTGATTTTTTTTGTCTCTGGGTTTATCAAGTCTTAATGAAGCTGTCTTGTCATGAGCCTTTTTTTAGTGATTCTTGTGAGTGCATAGATTTAAACTTGGTATTTACACTAAACTTCAAACTGATGCACTTAAGGTAATTGCAGATAGTCATTTGCCTCATTGCATCTTATCTACTTAGTTATGCCGTGAACCTGTAAAAGTGATCTCTTTAATGCTAATATAGAAACTAGTTAAATGTTCTCTAGCTTTGTAGTCAAATAAGCTTTCATATTTAGCAACTCACTTGATATGAACTTAAAGAACAAATTACTTTGTACTAATGATCAGATTAGGGTTCGATTACAGCTTCAAACTATCCTCTTATTTTTTTTTTTCTTTTTAACCATAAAGGGAGTCTTTGCTACATATAAAACTGTTTTAGCTTCCTATTAATTTATGTGGTGCCCTCTAGAGGATATGTGGCTTCCACGATACTATAAAGAATAAAATTGCTTATTAACTTGTCTCTCTGTGTTCATTATGTCTTTCAATAAGACAGCCATTCTACAGCTGCTATAAGCAATAATGTAGCCAATTTGGGTGCTTTAACTTTCACTGTTAAATTTGCAAACTATGAGACTGTGGTTTTGGTTATTTACAAAGATATTTCCAGTATCTCTCATTTAGAGATGCCTGCCAAAAAAACCCAAAACACTCCTTCAGCCCCAATGCACATTCTCATTCTGTATTTGAGTCCTGAGGTACGTGATATTTTTATAAACACTCTGTATCTTCAGAACTTCAAAAGTTGCTTTGCTTTAGCACTCTCCTTTGTCAAAATTATTTAATTTTACTATATTAAAACCTTTTTCTCTGGGTTGGGGATGGTTGAGGGGATGGAATAAAACTGTAATAAGGTAATGAGCTTGGAAGATGCTTTGGGTGCGAGAAGTTTTACCCTGGAATCTGATTCATGTAAGACACTGCAGTGGCTTCAGAGGTGGCATATGACACCAAGGGTATTAGGGTGGTTTTTTTTATGAACTCTGTTTTGTTAACGAGTATGAGAACTGACTTGAGTAAAGAAAGGATTCAACGTTAAAAATAACACACTTGGTGAAAATGATATGCAGAGTGTAATTCCCCTTCAGGCTTCTGTCTCCTGCTTATACACTCTTGGGTTAGAAAGTGAAGACTTAATTGAAGGAACTTAGGTTTACGCCAATATTTCATGTCCACTTACAGTAAGTGAAATATGCAAGAAGTTTGGGGTTTTTTCCCCCTTTTTCCCTCCAGAGCTATATGGTGACATCTTAATGTATCAACCTCCCCTTCTCTTGTATTCTCTTCTGACTGGCAGCATGTCCATTTATAAGCACAATATTCCCTTTGAAATCTGTCATTAATGACCAGTTGTTATGTTAATAGCCCAAGGGCTGTTAACATGTCAAACTGGTTGTTAACTGGAATGTTATTACTTATTTAAACCTCAGGTATGAGTTGTGTGAAGTGCTCTTTGGTTGTGCTTTCTGGGCTGCTTCTGCTCAAAACAATAGGGAAACAGCAGCGCTTTTGCCTTTGGGGTGTCAAGGGATTTGCTTTTCTGTTCCATCTGCTCATTTGATTTCTGCGTATTTGTGAGGTCCTCCTACCCCTGCACAGCCTCCTAATGTCAGGTGCAGCTATCCCTTAGCCTTGCGTGCAAACGGGCAGCCGCAGATATTTCCAGATGCACGGTAATGCCTGCCGCACATTTGAGATGAATATCTGGCCCCTAAAAGTGTAAAATGAAAGACCAACAATTACATCTAACTCAGTTGTATTAAATAATGAGCTTCCTCAGATGCAGCGAAAATATGAATGTACAGCTGTGCTAAGCTAGTAGCAATGTAGGTCAATCACCCTTTTCACTTAGGTTTTTAACTACGCAAACCCTGCTGAGCAACCAATGACTACAAAGTGCTGTTTCATTCCTATTTAATTTTGGCAGCATTTTACTGAAGAGCAGGCATTCATGCAACTAAATTATCTTCACCGTTTCTGGTTTTTAACTCCAGCTCCATGACACTAAATGTTGGAGTGCATATCTCTCAGTAAACACAAAGAATATGGTTTCTGATTTATTTTTTTTTTTTATTCCACATCCATCTCTTAACATGGAAATTGAAATAGAACTTTTATTACTTTTTGCATAATTTTCCTAGCCAGGCAAACAGATCATGGGAAAAGCATTAACAAAACTAATATATTGGGAAGAATTTTTGCCCTTAAACACATCTAGAACCTTATCGGGGATAGGGGGGAAATTGACTCAAAAGTCCACCCCTCCACTGCCCAACTGTATTGATTTTGCTCATACATGTACTGCAGACTTTAAAAGAGCCACTGAGTATCTATGAAGATGAGTAGATCATTATTCCTAAAGAAAGGGGCATTTATCTTTTTTTTTTCCCACTTGCTGGTTCAAAGACCTGAGAAAAGTCAAGTTTTTAACTTGGATGAGATCTTCTAAATAATGAGACGTGTCTACAGAAAGTAAAATGTTCAACCATAAGCATCATAAAGATGCTGCTTCTGTAAAATATTTAGCTTGTGAAAGGGTGCAGACTGAAAAGAGTAGAGTTTAAGAAGCAGCCTTTTCCTGTACAACTGCTCACACTCTAAAGGCAATTATTATTTCAAAAAATTATTACATAAGAGTACTTAGAGAGACTTAAAATGTCT